GATTGGCCCGTGATGAACGAGTGACTCGTGGTGAGCAGTTTAATTCTTTTTCCGGCTCTAAACGCATATGATTGGCTTCTGCCAATGTGCTGTAGACTTGAAATTAACGATACTACCTGCACAAATGTGCGCACACGCGGATGTTCAAAATGAACGAATCGTTCATGAATGACCCATCACTAATTTTCATCAGGGAAAAACAAACACAGCCGCAGGGGAGAAAGACTATAGCTGCGTTCCAAATGGCACACTATACACTATGCACTCATGCACTATGTACTTATGCACTTACACACTCAACAGGATAGTATATGTATGTAGTGTCGTCCCAAATGGCACACTAATGTTTTTTTACTAAGCGGAAATTCAAACCGTTTCCCTAATGACGTTTGACGGTCGCCAAACCAGTGAAACAAACGACTGTAATATTAAATAATACACTGTAAAAATATCTTATGTGCTATTTACTTTAAAAAAAATTGTGGTAACACTATTAGTTTTAAGTAATTTGAAAACTTCATTTTTTTAGCAAAAACACTTGAATGAATCATGTGAAAACTTTTTTGAGTGATAGATGATGATTTTAATATTATTAGGGAAATGTGCTTTTATAATTTAAGCAAATTAAACACATTTTACTCATATTTATTTATAAAAATTACTCATTCATAAAATGTAATATATATATATATCATTTAATGAAATACATACACAATGCATTTTTGCCAAATATCATTTTATTACATGTTCCACTGATAACAAAATGGTACATACAATTTGTTTAACAAATCTATTTAAAATTTACAGCAATGTGAAGCTCTAAAAAAAGTCCTTTCTCCACACATGGAAAAAATATTATTTCAACTTTATTTTGTAGGTAGTCAAATTTTAGACAAAATCTGACAGAATTGCACAACATACAAAACCAGTATAAAAGCTGTATCTCAACATAATAGCAACACAACCAGTCAATGCAGTAAAAATTCCCCCAAAAGTTTGTAACATTGAATTTGTGTCAGAAACGTATTATAAGTTTGTTTTGGGGTGATTTTATTTTAAGGAATACCTGTATAAATTCAGTTCAGCAATTCTAGATTTTCCAAGCCAGCCATGACTCACTCATCCTCCAAGACAATGCAGAAGTCCTCATGGTTGGTCATCCCTCTGGCAAACAGCAATTCTCTGTGCATTCCCACACTGTAAAATAAACATTAAGTTTATTATTATGAAATATTTGCAACTGTAAATTTCAAATGTTTAATGTTACATCCTATGATGTATTTAGGTAATAAGTTGCTGGTGTGAGTGGCAGCTTATTGCTCTCCCCTTTTGTTTTATTAATTGCTCTCTCTCTCTCTCTGTCTCTCTGCCTCTCTCTCTCTCATTGAGCAGCGTTCCAAACCAGCCGCACCTGTTTTCAATCAGAGCAAATCGGATCGGTTGCTGTTGATTGAGCTTCCAGGCTTTATAAAGAGGCAGAGCGGCAAAGTACGGAGAGGGTTGTGAACAGTGAAGGAGGTGCGGGTTGATGACGTCGACAGAGTAATGGCGGCGAATTCAAACAATCAAAATAATCCAAAGAATAGAAATCAAGAAAATAAAGTTGGGAATGGATCGGAGACTCTAAGAGTAGAGAATAGTGGTGAAGAGGAGGAAGAGGATGATATGGATATAGGATGGACACAAATAGAAGGACGATACGGGAAAAAAGCATCTAGGAAAAGGAAAAAAAGGTAAGGAGGACGCATCGGAAAGTAGTTCGCTAGCAAGTGAGGAGGAAGGGGTTGGAGAAAAAGCCAAATTAGGATTTAGATAATATTAAAATTCAAGGAAGAAATGGGAGTTTCAGGAATAAATCCAATGATGTTGACACATGAATTAAAGAAACAAGTAGGTGAAATCGCATTCGCAAAGGTGCTTCAGGATGGGGCGTTAATGATTGTGTGCAAAAACGAAGAACAGAAAAATAAGGCAATGAAAGTAAAAACAGTGGGGAAGAAGGTTGTTACGAGTAGTAAGATCATAGGTCAGAATTCATGGATATTTGGCGTGATAAAAGGAGTTCCTATTGGGGTAACAATGGAGGAATTAAAAAAGAATCTTGATGGAGGTAAAGTCATAGACGCAGTTAGATTGAAGATGAATAGAGAAGGAAGAAGATTGGACAGTCTGTCAGTGCGCATTAAATTTGAAGGAAGAGAAATGCCAGATAAAGTCAGAATGGGATTCATTAGCTACCCTGTTATAGAATACAATGCACCTCCAATGAGATGTTACAACTGTCAGAGGTATGGGCACACAGCAGCTTTATGTAAATCAAAAATAAGATGTGCGCGATGTGGAGGGAAACACGAATTTGGAAAGTGTTAAGAAGGAGTGAAGGTGAAATGTTGCAACTGTGGAGGAGGACATAATGCTGCATATGGAGGTTGTGAGGCAAGGAAAAGGGCAGTGGAAGTTCAGCAGGAAAAAGAAAAAAACAATCTAACTTACACTGAAGCAGTAAAGGTAGTGAGGGAAAAGAGGAAGTCAAATGAAACAGTAAGATTGGATTCAGGTAAGAAAAATGAAGGAGAAGAAAGAATTGGTGAAAGTAGGTCATCAGAGGATTTGGCGAAGAGAAAAATTTTGTACTCTTCATGGTAGAAGTAATTAACTGCACTGCCCAAACAGAAAGAAGAACAAAAAAGATACAAATAATAATTAAAGCAGCAGAAAGGTATCTGGAGATAAAGGGTCTGAAGAGTGATGATATAAGAAGAAGCCTCAGTTCAGATTTTCAAGAGAGTCAGAAGATAGGAATAGGTTAGTAGGGTTATGTTGAGAATCCTACAATGGAATGCTAGAAGTCTTTGTGCTAATGGACAAGAGTTTAAGGGATATTTAAGTAAAATGAAAGAAAAACCTAATGTAATATGTATTCAGGAAACTTGGTTGAACTCAAGGTTAGATTTTGTTTTAAATGGATATGTAAGTGTAAGAAGGGACAGGGAAGAAGGTATAGGTGGAGGTTGTGTCACGTTTATAAAAGAAGGAATGCCTTATAGAATTTTGGAAAAAGGAGTAAACCTGGAATATATAGTGATAGAAATATGGTATGGAATAAAAGAGTATGTTATAATAAATTTTTATAACCCATGTAAAAAACTAACAATGGATAGTATGGAAGAAATTAAAGGTCTAAATGAAGAAAGGGTTATATGGTGTGGTGATTTTAATGCACATAATACACTATGGGGAGGAATAATAACAGATAGAAATGGTATGGTAATAGAGGAGGTTATAGAAAAGAAAAAGTTGTTATGCATGAATGATGGAGGATATACACGAATGGATGTAAATACAGGCAAAGAATCAGCACTTGACCTAACAATTGTGTCAAATTCACTGGGTGGAATTACAGTATGGGAGGTCATAAGGAAATGCTCAATTGGAAGTGACCATTTTCCTATTATTAGTTCAATTATAAATAGTGAGAATAAGAATGTTAATAAAGGTAATTCTGGAAAATGGAAGTATGAGAAAGCTGATTGGGAGAAATTCAAAGAAATAAGTGAAGAAGGGTTGAAAAAAATTAAGATGAATGAAGATATTGAAATTGAAAGGTTATATGCAGAGTTAAGTAATGTAATTCGGCATGCAGCAAATGAAAGTATTCCAAAGAGTTCAGGAAAAAGAGTAGGGAAAATGGTCCCATGGTGGAATGATCAGTGTACAATAGCAGTAAGAAAAAAAAGGAAGGCATTTAAAATTCTAAAGAGAACACATAACTTGCAAAACTTGATAGAATATAAGAAAGCTCAGGCAGAAACTAGGAAAATAATCAGAGAAAAGAAGAAAGAATATTGGAGATCGTTTTGTAATGAAATTGGGAAAAGTACTCCGGTTGAGGAAGTATGGAATATGATAAGAAAAATGAGTGGTATTAGAAGAGAATATGAATACCCAGTATTAAATGTAGGAAGCAAGAATGCAGTATATGATAAAGATAAAGCAGAAATGTTTAAAAATCAGTTCTTAAAAGTAAACAGCTCCAATAACTTGACAAATGAAAGTAAGAATATGAGAGAAAGAGTGTTATCCGGGAATTGTAATATAATGGAAAAAAGGAAAGTTACCGAAGGTACATTAGATGTCTTGTTCACCTTCTCAGAAATGAAAAGGGCATTAAAATACACCAAGACATCAACTCCAGGACAAGACGATATAAGCTATGTGATTTTAAAAAAGTTAAGTGAAGAGTCACAAAGGAAAATTCTGGAATTTTATAACAGGGTGTGGGAAGAAGGGAAATTGCCTCTAGAATGGAAGGAGTCATTAATTAAACCCATAAAAAATCAGGTAAAGACCCTAGTAATCGTTTAAGCTATAGACCAATAGCACTAATATTGTCCATGTGTAAATTAATGGAAAAAATGATCACTGACAGACTTTGGTATCACTTGGAGAAAAATAACTTTTTCTCCCCTTATCAAAGTGGATTCAGAAATGGAAGAGGTACAATGGACTCAGTTATTAATTTAGAAACAGACATTAGGAAAGCGTTAACTAATAAGGAAACAGTAGTGGCAGTTTTCTTTGATATTGAGAAAGCATATGATATGCTATGGAAGGAGGGCCTGTTGATCAAGTTAAACCAAATAAGAATAAGTGGTAGACTATTTAATTGGATTAAAGAGTTTTTAATTGAAAGATATATTAGAGTAAAGATTGGGAAAGATGTGTCGAGTAGAGGAATTATTGAAAATGGTACTCTACAAGGCAGTGTTATAAGTCCTTTGTTATTTCTAATTATGATTAATGATGTTTTTTTCAAGTTTAGAAAGAAATATCAATAAATCTCTGTTTGCAGATGATGGAGCTCTATGGTTAAGAGGCAGAAATGTGGATCATATAGTTAATAAAAGGCAAACGGCATTAATTAAAGTTGAGAACTGGTCAAATAAATGGGGTTTTAAATTTTCAATGGAAAAAAACAAATATATTTTCTTTACAAACAAAAAAAGTAGTATTGACCTAAAACTGAAAATATATAATATAGAATTAGAACAAGTAAAAATGATCAGGTTTTTAGGTATGTGGTTAGATTCTAGAGCTACATGGAGTAATCACATCAGTAAGATGCAGGAGAAATGCAAAAGAATTTTGAATGTAATGAGATGCATTTCTGGGCGTGAGTGGGGAGCAGATAGACTAGCTTTAAAAACTATTTATGTAACAATGATCAGAGCAATTTTAGATTATGGTTGTGTGGCATACAGTTCAGCAGCAAAGTCACAATTAGAAAAACCTGAAAGAATACAATCCCAAGCTCTTACAATTTGTTGCGGAGCATATCCTTCCTCTCCAGTTCCAGCTTTGCAGGTGGAGATGGGGGAAATGCCAATTCAACTAGGAAGGAAACAACTGATATTGACATACTGGGCAAGAACAAAAGGCCAAGAGGTTAATCATCCTGTAAAAACACTAATGGAGGTATGTTGGGAATATGGGAAAAAGAAAATTAATAGCTTTAACTGGATTATTGAGGAATTAGTGCAGGAAATGAAATTAAATGAATATAATATTATACCATCAATAGTTCTACCAACAATACCTTTATGGATATTACCACAACCAAAAATAGACCTCAAATTATTGAAAGACAGACAGGAAAAAGGACAGGAGTTAACAGAGGGATATCTAACAAGAGAGTATATCGGGACAAAATATGATCAGTATACACAGATTTTCACAGATGCATCAAAAGATCCGCAAAGTGGCCGGGTGGGGATTGCATATATTATTCCAAGTTTAGATGTGTTAGAAGGGAAAAGAATATCTAATCATTTGTCAGTATTTACAGGAGAGCTGCTAGCAATTATGCTAGCAGTCAACAAAGTTTATGAAATGGATCTGAACAAGTCGATAATATGTTCTGATTCAACTTCAGCGTTACTATGCCTGGATATTAAAAAATCGGAAACTAGGCAGGACATTATAATAGAAATTCTTCAATTATTACAAAATTTAGAACAGAAAAACAAAATAGTTGAGTTTGTATGGGTACCAGCACATTCAGGAGTTGAGGGCAATGAAGCAGCAGATAGATTAGCAAAAACAGTAATGGCAAAAGAGAGGATAGAAATGAAAATCAGGTATAGTAGGGCTGAACTTAAATCAGTAATTAGAAAGGGAATACACAAAAAGTGGCAAATAAGTTGGGACAATGAACAAAAAGGCAGACATTTATATGTAATACAACCAAAGGTAGGACAGATTTTGAAATCATGGGGGAGCAGGAAGGAGGATTGTATTCTTTCAAGAATAAGGATAGGACATACAGGGCTGAACGCTACATTACACATGATAGGAAAACATCCAACAGGGTTGTGTGATGGATGCGGAGAGAGAGAGACAGTAGAACATGTAATCATTAGTTGCAATAAATACACAGAGGAAAGAAATATGTTAATTAATGACCTATAGATAAATGATGAACAAATAACACTGAAAGAGTTTTTATATCAGGAAGGAAAGAAATGGTTGATTCAATTCTTAAAAAGAACTCAGTTAATACATAGGATATAGAATGTCTAAATATATTTATTTAATTAACTTAATTATTATTTTATTTATAACAATATTAAGCTTTCTCCTCTCTTCTACTATGTTTTCTATATCTCGGCTGTGAAGGACCTGAGCTGTAGATGGAGGAGCTGAACACGCAGCAACATCGAAGGCTCGGGTTTTGAAGAGTCAAGAGGTAAAAAATAAATAAATAAATAAAATAAAATTAGAGAGTCTCTGATCCATAACTCACAGTAGGTGGCGGTAATGCTCTGATAAGAATGCGAACCGCCAATAAACACCAGGAAGAAGAAGAAGAAGAAAGAAGAAGTACGGAGAGAGTCCATAGCTGCGTCCCAAATGGCACACTATACACTATGCACTATGTACTTATGCACTTACACACTCAACAGGATAGTACATGTATGTAGTGGCGTCCCAAATGGCACACTAATGTTTTTTTACTAAGCGGAAATTCAAACCGTTTCCCTGATTACGTTTGACGGTTGCCAAATCAGTGAAATAAATGACCGAATTATCAAATATTACCTGCCGTGAGTGTTGCCGCATTCACCATCGGGAGGCACTATAATCACTCTCGTAGAAGAATTTTGTTCTCACCATCCAAAATAAATAAAGTTATTCAACATGTGCGTCCGATAGCTCCGCCTCTTCCGCTACGTAAGCAAACCTGCGGTCGTTGAGTGCGTGAAGTGTCCATCATTACACACTTCATTTTAGAGGCTGAATGAGTGCATCATCCGGGAAATTAAAGTGCACTTATTATTTTTATAGTTTTCAGTGTGAACACACTACTTACACTATTTATACTACAAAATGGCATAGAATAGTGCATAAGTATGCGATTTGGGACGCAGCTCCTGTTTTCCCTAACCCAGTGATTATAGTGTGTTAGAGATTTTTGTTGGATATTGAGAACTGTGAGCTTGTGAATCTTGTGAGATTATAGTGTGAATAACTGTGACGTGTAACTTTATGTGAAAAGTAAGCCGTGTAGAGAGACAAGTGCTGATTTATTTTGGGTTTATCCTTTAAGTTTCCTCCTGTTTCTGGATTTAGCCAGGTTGTGGGTTAAGAGCATTGCCATTGATTTTGAGTTTTCTTTATATATATATATATATATATATATATATATATATATATATATATATATATATATATATATATATTAGGAAATCTAGAACTTTTTGTCAATTTAGGAAGCTTTTGTTTTGTTGGTTATTTTGGCCTTACCCTCTCATAATGATTTTGGTTAGGATAATTTTCATTTAAGCATCTTTTGGTTTTTGTTTACCCTGTCTGGAAATGTAAAAAAATATATAGAATTTTGTTAAACAGTGAATAAAAGATAATATTTTTCTTTTGAAATCTCTTTTCAGAGTTTTTTTGTTGTTATTATTATATCTAAAGTGAACGTATGCTGGGATAGAGAAAAAGGAGATTCTCCACGCACATTAATAAATATTAATTTATTATTAATTCGATCCAATTAAACTTTGATATATATATAGGGACAAAAATGTAACAATTGGGGGCTCGTCCTTTGCGTTCGTCTGTACATTAATCATCATTTTTCTTTAAACTCACTTTTTTTTTGAACAGCAAAACAACTATTTGGTGAGTACATCTTTTCTTTTCTTGATTACTGGCTGTTTTCGTTTTTTGGGAGAGAGAATAGAGAGTAGTGAATAACTTAAACGATGGATTTTGATCTAATATCATTTACTCTTGCGCCTACGACTGAAGTCTTTGACAGGTGTAAAAAGAAAGATCTGTTGTTGATTGCAGATTTCTTTCGAGTTGACGTGCCTAGAGAGGCAACTAAACATGTGATCAAAAATGAGTTGTATGAGAAATTGGTAAATGAGGGGATTTTGCCTAGACAAACTGATGAGGGTGAGGGAGTGGAGCAGTTAGAAGCCGCAGCTGCTATTAATGTTGAGGATGTGGAACAGTTTGACTCTGATTCTGTTACTTTACAAGACCCTAGGTTAGCAATAAGACTGAAAGAATTAGACCTGTTAATAAAAAAAACAGGAATGGGAAGCTCAAATGATTAAACTGAAAGTTATTGAAGCAGAGACTGATAGAGATGTTAAACTTCAAAAGCTAGCTTTAGATGCCCAGCTGGCCGTGGCGAGACTAGTTCCTTCTCCGAGAACCAAAATTTCAGTTTCTTCCCCGGTAGTTACTAGTCCCTTGCTGGGAGCAAATAATCAGTTGTCTGCAGATATTCCGTTTGATCCCAGTAAATACATTAAACTAGTACCGCCGTTCAGAGAAGCGGAAGTTGATTCTTATTTTGTTGCGTTTGAGAGAGTCGCAAGTAAATTACGCTGGCCGAAAGATATGTGGGCCCTTTTGTTACAATGTAGTCTCACCGGAAGGGCGCAAGAAATCTGTTCTTCACTTCCTGTTGAATCATCTCTCGATTATGATACACTTAAAATTGCAGTGCTGCGTGCGTATGAATTGGTCCCTGAAGCATACCGGCAAAAATTCAGGCGGCACACGAAAACAGCCAGTCAATCATATGTTGAGTTTGCGAGGGAGAAAAGAGTGTTGTTTGATAAATGGTGTCTAGCTAGTAAGATAACAACTTTGGAGCAGTTGCAAGAGTTAATCTTACTAGAAGATTTTAAGAATTGTGTGCAGGAAAATTTAGTGGTTCATCTAAATGAACAAAAAGTGGCTTGCTTAGCGAACGCGGCCGTGTTGGCGGATGAATTTGTATTGACACATCGCACTGTTTTTCCCTCTGTGCGGCAGCCAAAATTTACCCAGCCTACTTCATTTGATTCGCGGAATATTATTCCTCGTAATGTGCTTCCCACTAGAAGAGAAACTTTTCCAAAGAATGTTTCTCAAAATAAACCTACAGCTGACGAGAAACGGGAATGTTTCTATTGCCTGAGTCCTGACCATTTAATTGCAAACTGTCTGTTGTGGAAACAGAAAAATTCTAACGCAAAAACTAAAAGTGTAGCTTTTGTTCAGTCACTGCCAGAGTCAAGCCCTGCTGAAGAAAATGGGTACCAACCTTTTCTTCAAAAAGGGATGGTTTCTATTTTCCCAGACTTTAACTTTAAGCCAGTAGTCATGTTAAGAGATACATGATCAAGCCAGTCCTTTATTCTTGAAAGTGTCCTACCTTTTTCTGCTGACACCTACACTGGACATGATGTGTTGGTCCGGGGCATTGAGATGCACTGTGTTAATGTGCCTTTGCATAATATACACCTAAGATCAGATCTTATCACTGAACTTGTCAAACTGGGTGTCCGTGCACAATTGCCTGTGAAAGGTGTTGATTTAATCATAGGGAATGATTTAGCAGGTGGTGAAGTGTTCCCTACCCCAATTGTGACACACACACCCATGCTGAAAGAACAGTCTGACCTTGTTTCATTGTACCCCTCAGTTTTCTCTGCATGTGCAGTGACTTGTGCACAAGCACAAAAGTTCAAGGAAGTAGTGGATCTATCTAAGACATTTCTAGTTCCTGGATCTTCTCCACTGATGTGTACGCTGTCTGTAGATCCTGATGTCAAGTCTGACCCGAGTGTAGAGTTTAAAACCCCTTTAAAGGTGAGCCGTGACCATTTGATAAGTGCACAAAGAGAAGACTTAACACTAGAAAAGTGCAGAGAACTTGCCAATTTTGGGAAGATACCAGAGTCAGGAGCAATGTATTTCTGGGATGATGAGTTGTTGATGCGGAGATGGAAACCAGACAGTGATGATGAGAGTTGTCAGGAAGTTCAACAAATAGTTTTGCCTTCTGATGATCGCACCTATGTGTTGAAACTGGCTCATGAACATGTGATGTCTGGTCACTTAGGAGTGACGAAAACATTCTATCGAGTTTCAAGATACTTCTACTGGCCTGGCATTAAATCTGCAGTGTCAGAATTCTGTAAGTCTTGCAAAGTTTGCCAGCTCACAGGAAAGCCTAATCAAAAAGTTCCTGTTGCTCCTCTTACTCCCATCCCTGTCATAAATGAACCATTTGAACGTCTCATCATTGACTGTGTTGGCCCCTTACCAAAGTCTAAATCAGGACATCAGTACATCTTGACCATCATGTGTGCCGCCACCCGCTTTCCTGAAGCAGTTCCCATGCGTAATATAAAAGCAAAAGGAATTGCAAAAGAGTTGATTAAGTACTGCTCCATATTTGGCCTTCCAAAAATAATTCAAACAGATCGTGGCACCAATTTTACTTCAAAAATGTTTGAGAAAGTTCTGAAAGAGTTTGGAGTAAATCACCAGTTATCTAGTCCATACCACCCTAAGTCACAAGGAGCAATTGAGAGGTTTCATCAGACGCTCAAGACGATGCTGCGCAGTTTCTGTGTTGAGACTGGAAAGGATTGGGAAGAAGGTCTTCCATTTCTTCTGTTTGCTGTAAGAGAGACTGTGCAAGAGTCTCTAGGCTTCAGTCCAGCGGAGTTGGTATTTGGCCATACTATACGAGGACCTTTAAAATTGTTGAGTGAACAGCTGTTAACTGAGCATCCAACCGCCATGACAGTACCTGACTATGTCCAGTCTATTCGACAGAAGCTCCATTGTGCTCGTGAGGTAGCGAAACAACATCTTACAGCAAAACAAGACAAGATGAAAGCCCACTTTGACAAGAAGTCTGTTAAACGGTCTTTCCAGCCTGGTGAGTCTGTTTGGGCTTTGTTACCTACTGCTGGTTCTGTGTTCCAGGCGAAGTTCACTGGTCCCTACTTGGTCAAGAAGAAAGTGAGTGATACAAACTACATCATTGACACCCCTGACCGTAAACGAAAAAGTCGTATGTGTCACATCAACATGTTAAAAAAATATGTGACTTCAGAATGTAACAGTGAAAAGTGTAATATAGCTCCAAAAGAAAAGTGTGAAACTGTAAGTGTGCCATCTTCCACTGTGGCATTAGTGTCAACCTATACTATGGAAGAAGATGGGCTATATAATAGAGAAGTTCAAGTTTCTTCTACAAAATTACAAAACTCTACTATTTTATGTCACCTAAAAGATTATCTTGCACATCTTGATGAAAATCAAGCCAACCAATTGTCGGATTTGTTACATGAGTTTCCTGACCTGTTTTCAGATGTGCCTGGAAAAACTGCAGTGTGCTTTCATGACATTGATGTTGGAGATGCATCCCCAATCAAGCAGCATCCTTATCGAGTCAACCCTCAAAAGCGTGAAATCATGAAGAGTGAGGTGGAGTATATGCTGCAGCATGGATTTGCAGTCCCAAGCCAGAGTCCCTGGAGTTCACCTTGCCTGTTAGTTTCAA